AAATTAAAAAACCTGAACACTTAGTATCCTACAGACCCAACCTGACGGAGGATCCGCAGCCATTGCGGAATGTCCAACAAATTATAAAGTCTAAACACGGAGAGCTACCTGAGGACACAGACTTCTTATCGAAGAGTCTGATCCTAGTTCAGAGAGTCTGATGATCCCAGAGTGCCATTTTCCCACTAAGTCCCAAAACCACCAGACCGTCCAACATTCACGCCGGACTATCCGATAATACAAACCGACTGCCCATCAATGTATACTTGAACACTCACTCTTGTAACACTAGAACCAACTTAAATAAATATCATTGCATGACATCTCATATCTCGTACTCTCAACTCCCTCTTGCATGTTTAATATAATGTCATGCATACATGAGTATCTCATACATGGACGTATATATAGGTACGCGATATCGGAGAGACGTCCAGAGATGTTCCAAGCTATGGGAACCTCACTCTTCTAACAGGCAGGCACCCCACTATTATGAACCCTACTTTGGATACTTATCGAGTCTCATTATGAGTTATAAATTGCATGTAGAGTTGGATAACGATCTCTTACACACCACACCTAGAGATACTTAATAATCTGTTAGAAGCCTCTCATCTAAACACTGGGAATGGGAACGTCTAATGTTTATTGCTTAGTTACTTGGGCAACGGTAGAAGTCAAGCATGAGAAGAGAACTCATACTCGCGCGTGTAGGATGCTACACCTAGATAATTAACCACTAAAACCAATGAGGGTACAACTTAACTTATCTCACTAATCTGTCTAAGGAATACTATCCTTAATATGATAATCTTGATGAAGACTTGGATAACTTGCTCATGCGAGGGGTAGGTCATCGTGAGTGTGGGATCTCAGACGACATAGCTCGTGGAAGAAAGAAAAACACCATTGTAATATTCAGTTACATAGAATCAGCTCCACACTCTTAAAGAAATATGATCATGTTTACTTTAAAACTCATACTTTCAAAAATCTTCTTATGATTTGCATCAAGGACAACATCCTACTGTTAAACCTAATATGATATGTTCAAGAACCTCCATAATAAGATTTATTCCCTCCTTTAGCTGAGCGGGGATGTACCCTTATTTTTATCCCATCTATTTCCCTATGCCTATCAAAACCTTCATCCAAACGTCACTTTAGGATCAATAATTATCATTTCTTCCACAAACAACTTTTGTGATCAGGGGAAACTGGCATTAATCATGTTAGAATAATTGAAAAAATATGTACAAAGAAATTTCCAGATAAACAGGACAACTGCATTATTTTAATAGTTATTCTAATAAAATATTATCATTTCGTCCACAAAATACAAATGCAAAGTTACTCTCATATAACAAATTATCATTTCGTCCATGAAATACATGTATGGGTCATTTGGAAATAGTTAGAGAAATAGTCATGTTGGGTCATTTGGACTACAAGAAATAGCATCATTTTTTACAATGGTCAACAGAGTTTAAGAATATGGAGAAGACAGTTCAGAGAGGAGTTTGGACTGGTGTGCACCAAAGCCAAACCAGCAAAAAAGATCAAGCTTAGTTTTTGGAGAGACAACTACTTGTAATGTCATGTTCTTTTACTTTGGGCCTAGCTGCCTTGTAATTCTTTTTCTTCCTTCTTTGGTTTTTGCTGTACATAACATTCTTTCATTTAATTGAAAAGGAAAAAAATAGGTAGGGGATTCCCCATCTGATTCGGTCAAAAAAATGAAATACAAATGGAAAGTCACAATGTTGGTCCTAGACCGAACATAATGAGGTGGGAGTGGAGAGTGAGAGGCAGAGAGAGAGAGAGAGAGAAAGTGAGTGATGGGCCAATGGTCCTCTCTACCTTCCCCTCCCACTCTTTTAAGGCGAGGTGGGATGGAAGTTTTTCATTCTTTCTCCTAGTGGAGCTTATATTTATAAAAGAGCTCGAGGCTACAAATAGGCCCTAAGTATTTTCAAACAAGCCCCCAGCTTTGTAATTGGGCCTAAACACTCTAATGGAGTCCCTAATATATGATACACCCTAACAGTAGCCTCTCTCAACTATTCGATTTTAATTGAAAGTACTAGACCCAATAGCTGAATACGACTATGTGTGGCCTAATTACAACTCGGCCTCAGCTGTGAGGATCACCCTTCACAACCCACATGTGTGCACTTCACTTAAAATTTCATCCCAAAGACCCTATCAGGAAAAAGAGTATGACAAAAAGAGCACACACATGGCTTTTGTCTATACAAAGATCATTTAGAGATGCATGTTTGGTCTTCAGCAGAACTTCACTTGAACCTCCGCGACTTCGCCTTTGGTGGCTTGCTCTTTTTCCTAGGCTTGGGCCCTCAATAGATTCTCTTCAAATTTGAGCCTTCATGAAAGCAATGATGTAGTCGACACGTCTTCAAACTTTTGTTCACAAACGTCTAGCAAGGTTTGCGTCTTTGAGTAGATTGCTTGTCTAATGCAATGTTGAGGATGTCAATGTTGATGGAGACCCCCCTACTATTAATTGACGACAAATGAGAAGTCAAAGATGTTGATGTAGATGGCGATCACCCTGCTCCTAATTGATGGCAAAGGTGATGTCAAACGTGCCGATGTTGATGGCGATCCCTCCGCTCCAAACTGACAGTGAAGGCGAAGGCAAAGACATCAATGTTGATGGTGAAGGTGAAGTTGAAGATGCTGATGTTAACGGTGAGCCCCCTCTCGCTACAAATTGGTGGTGAAGGCGATGTTGGTGACGCCAAAGCTGATGGCAAAAGCCTCTCGACGTAAACTTGGCGTAGGTGGTGTCGATGATACTACCAGAGCTGATGGCAAAGCTCCTTGGGCCTTTTGATGACAAGTTGTGGTGCGTGGCTAGGGTTGGGTTTGCCACTTGGGCCTTTTGATGATGCAATTGATGCGGGTTTATGCTTCTGCGTGATTGCTCTTCCAGTGTCCAGGTGCACCTCTAACTCTTGACCTCTCTCGAGACTGCTGACCTGCCATGGGAGTGGTTGTAATAAGGGGGAAATGCCCCTCTTCTGGTGGACTAGAATCAAAACTCGACGTCCAAAGACCAGTCCCGCTCCCTACGCCATGAGAATAGGTAGAGGAGGCCCCTAAAACCACACCATCCTCTACGTGCATCACTCAGGTGAAGGCTGACAATTGGTTTTTTGGTGAGTGTCTACATGCGATTGCTCAATCCCATCCACTACCTCCTAGCGATCTGATCAACTACTTCGTGGCAACCTTCTGATCCTCTACTTCCTGGCATCTCCAATGATGTGATTGACATTGCAACCTTTTTGCACGACACCTAGAGGGATGACTACACCAACAAAGGCTATGTGGACTAACAGAAATGGCTTTGGTGCTGCTAGGTGTGCTACTGCAGCTACTTGTTCATTAACTTGTTTGCGATTGGATCAAATGTGCACATGCTTGATGTCGCAAATCTTTTGGTAATCTTTTTCTAGACAAAGTTAAGCCTAAATTTGCCTAAAATTCTAGCAAGTATCGTTGGTTCATATGCTCCTAGAAACATGGATCATATCATAGATGATTCGTTCATCAACACTGGAGTTAAATAGAGAAGAAAAACTTTAATTGCATTACTGTTGATGATTCTTTAACTTATATCTTTGCATTATCATTAATTACATTCAGATATAGATATGAACCAAAAGTTGATTCACTTTCCAACTAAACCTCTGTCAGGTTTGTTAACTCAAGTGAGGAGTGACAATAAGCCGGTGAGCTCTAGCGGTCGAGCTTGATGGCGATTAGCTGAGACACAAGGGTTATGTGAGGAATTTCTCTAACAACGAATGATAGATGAGTATGGCCAGGAGAACATCAGAGAAATGTGCTCAATTTTGATGAGATACCATTATTAACATCGAAAACCTGATTGGGGATGGCACTAAGGCCAGTTTTAGTGGGAGTTTCATCTGAGTTTCATTTGCATTAATATTGTGACATGTCAACAAATTTGATGACTTGGCAGGCTAATTGTGAAGAGAGAGATAGAGAGAGTTTCATGGAGTTTCATCGGGATGAAACCCGCTAGCACAGCTACCAACGCAAAAGCTGATGTGGCATTCTTGGTAACTGTGCTATGAAACTTTCCACTGAGACTAGTCTAAGATAAATATGGTACACAGGTTTATAGTATATAAATCTATGGCAAGTATATAATTTGTAGCAACAAAAGTTTGAGCATTAATTAGGAACCATTTCTAAATACAAATCAAACATAACACCTTTTGTACTATAAACTCTTTATAAGTTAGGCTAATTAAAATAACAAAGTTAGAATTTTGAAATAGCTAGGGAGTAGTGTCTACCTGGTTAGAGGATTATGAGTTTAATGTCTATCTGTATCTCTAATTATTGTAGATTGTAGAAGTTATACTTTTTTGTTGTAAAGAACTTTATATTTCGCATTCCTTCGGTGCTCAGCAAAGTGAGAAAAGAACACCACCGGCCTGTTACGATTGGAAGCCAACCAAGCAGGCCTATTATTTGAGTCATTGAACTATATGGGCCACATTCTTGAGGATGGGCCGTCTCTCTATGCCACGAACACACATCCTATTCCTACTCCTGGGCTTCACCTACAACTCGTCCAGTCATCCGGCCCGGTAAACAGGATCGAGATCGAGACGACCACACCACACCACACCACACCACACCCGGGATGGTTCACGTTGTTGGAGTTGGACTCGGCCAAGTCTACGACCCGATCTCGGCTCCGACCAAGACGGCCTCCGCTGCACCCCACCCCGTCGTCGCCATGCCGCTGCATGCTCCTCGATCGCCGCCCCGATCATCTTGCGCCGCTCCTCAGTCCTCACCACCGTGCCTTTATAACTGACGATGGCACGCGCGTCGTCCTTGCAGCCGCAGCAGGCAGCGTCACCGTCACATAAACCACGCGTCGCAGTAGCTAGCAGCCGCCAGCAGCCCCTGCGCGCCACGAGCCGTCGTCCGTCATGGCGGACGTGCTGGTGGACTCGCAGCGCCGCGTCCTCATCAGCGGATACGGGTACGGCCTCCCCCCGCAGCCTGCAGAGAGCCTGCTGCTCGGCCGCCTCGACCAGATCGACCTCCGGGTACGTACGTCGTCGTGTAGTTGCTGATGGGTGATGGCCGGCCGGTCATCCGGCCGCGCGCATGGACGTTTGTATTGTATACATCCTCCATGCACGGCGATGACGCGAGCACATTAATTGATGCCTCCATCCGTGTGGTGTTTTCGTGCAGCTGCGGCAGCTGGAGGAGCAGCAGCAGCGCCGCCCGTCGCACGCCGAGCACGGCGCGCCCGCCCCGGCCCGCCGCGCGCCGGCGGCGCAGCACCAGCACACCAAGTCCATGCCGGCGGCGCTGCAGCACGTGCAGGTGCGGGGCGACCTCATGGACCGCCTCAACCTGCTGGAGTCCCGCATCAGGCAGGTCAGCTGCGAGCTGGGCCTGGACGGCGCCGGCGGTGTCGCCGGCAAGGCCCTCCATCACCAGTTCGGGCTGGGGCTGGGATCCTCCTCGTCCGTGCCGCTGGTCGAGGATCCCGCCACGTGGTCCGACTCCGCGCCGGTGGCGGTGGTGGACCCGGCTCGTGAGGCGTTCGGCCGCGGCAAGGTGCAGAGCAAGCCCGCGGCGGCGGCCGGCGGGAGCTGGAGCGCCGTGGAGATCCTGCAGCGGGGCGCGCGCCAGCTCCACCGCAGCACCAGCAGCATTAGCAGCATCAGCAAGCCCAACCCACCCATCAAGGTGAGCTCCGCTCCGACGATCCACCGCCGACGACGACAGAAAAAACCTCTCTGATCGATTTCGCACATTGATCAGGGATTCCAGTGGCGAGCAAAAAGTTGAAAAATCTGATCTTGTTGTTTCGTTTGATTTGAAAAAGGTGAACAAACTGAAAGAACCGAAATCCGCGTGCGAGAAGGAGAAGAGGAAGGCGGAGCGCAGCAAGTCTCTAACGAAGGTGGAGCGCAATAAGTCCCTGACGAGCAGGCTGTGGCTCATGGTTGGATGTAAGCATTAGTTGGATGCTGAAAAGGTGAAAAATTGCCAATAACAAGCATGGGATGAACTGATCTTGGTCCATCGTCCACAGAACTTAGAAGCCATACATATATATTTTTGTAATTTGTGTTTCTACACTGCTTTGATCTACTTCCGTCCATCATCATTAGTTGTACACAGGTCTGTATGGGTTTCACAGTGTTAGTACCACTTCGATAGAATTCCCGCTTTAGTTTGCTTCGTGATAACAGTGTCAGATACTCATATATTTCCACTTAAGATTTGATGCTAGCTGAGCGTGTATGTTATATGTATAGCATAGGCTTTCTATGTCACAGACTCCCCATTGTCAGCACACACACTGTATACATCATCATGAATTCTGAACCTATCACATACAGAGCAGAGAGCACAATGTGATCCACCGAAAATGCTTCGAAGAAACAAGTGCCGGCCAGATGTGATGCATGCCAAACTGAAAAGCCTCGACGACAGCAGAGGACGGTGAGAATTGAGAATGATCTATCTACGCGCACTAGCAGTCTCAGCTTCTGAATGGAATGGCCATAGGCCATGCATGCATGCATGCAAAGAGTTTCTGAATACTTCTTCAGTCCCTGTGTTTCTTTCAGTCAAGACTCAACTCTGAACGAAGCTGATCCCTGTCGAGTGTCGACTGTCGTCACCTGCTGCATAGTTTATAGTAGTTGAGGACAGCCGGCAGGCGGCAACCGATCCTCGTCGTGATCGTGACGTGGACAGGCCAGGTGACGAGAGGAGCAGAGACTGCATCAGCACACGAATCAGATCTACCTGCCCCTGGCCCAGCTCCAACGAGTAACACTAGCAGCCAACACTGCACGTTTGTATGCCTGGGATCACACTTACACATTATATGATACATGTTCTAAAGTATGTGCTTCCATTTTAGTTCACTAAATGTCAGAAACTATTGAACTGGAAGAATGCCATAACTTGTCATTTCTTCAGTTTTGATCTGTATCAAATACTTTGTGGATTATCCTGATGCACATTTGGGTCCATGGATGGGTCATCCTGATGCATGTGTGTCAGCATGAGCACTGGGAGGTGATTCAGATGCTTCTGTTCTTCGGATGGACATCTGTCGGGATAGAAGACTTGATGCAATAATGCTATTCGTGTAGAAAAAAGAGCTGCAGAGCTAAAAAGGCTCCTAGATTATAAGAGAGATATTTACATAAGGCACTCTCATGTTTCACACCTTTACCCATTCATCACCATCAAATGTACTCTAGTCAACAAACATGCTCAGTTAAGCACATGTTTCTTAGCAATACAAATCTGTAGAGCACATGATTATCTTGTGAAATTTGATCTCTGAGGCCACTTGCCTTAAAATTCTGCAACTTATTTATTACACCAAATTAACTTTATGTTATTTATTACACCAAATTAACTTTATAAGTTATTTATTAAACCAAATTTGATCTCTGGGGACACCATTAACCTTGATATGTCCTGAATCCTGGTGATAATGCTTTGTGGAGATACTCCTTTTTTCGGGATAATAAGAGCAGTGGTTCGTGTAGAATAATTTCAGAGCGATTGTTATTTGGTTCTATACATTGCGAGTTCATTTTGGTCAAGCAAAAACCAAAGTATATTGAGGCCAATCCTTAATTAGCTCCAATGGCAAGCGTTGTTGGGTGTGATACTGCTCACCTGTGTTTGAGGTTTGCTTGACCCTGGTGCTTACACAATCATTTCTACTCCTTAATCACCTTGAACTATATATTTTTATAATCAACTCGAACCATGTACATATACTATCAATTTATATGTATTTTAAATCCACAATATTTTTTATTAATCACCTGCTGTTCAATTCCTTTAGGACCCACCCTCTTCATATACAGTTTTGTTAGATTCACTAATCCAGTTATCATCTGCAAAAGGTAAACATGGTAAGATCACTTAACCTGTTATTAATGGTTCACCAGGATTTATGTTAGAACAGGAAAGTAGCTAGACCCAAGCATCCAGTCAGTCGGCATCACTGAGCTCCTCAGATCCACCAATCTGTTCATGTTCTGCAATCAGTTAATAATGGCACCGACAAAATGTTTCTGAGGTAGTGCAGATGTAATGGTTATTGATGTTTGCTGTTGACAATGAACTTGACACACTTACTTATCTAACCAGCTCGAAATCTTCCTTAGTGTTCTCACAGGATGTAGGGCAACAATCATCATTCAAGGAAGAGACATCTGTTAGAAACTTAGAATACCAAGACATTTGATAGATATGCTAGCAGGTATTCGAACGCCACTTCCCAGAGTTGAAGTGCTTCAAAACGGCTAGCCTCGAAAGACTGGAAAATTATCAGTTATCACTAGCTACATCAGAAATGAAAAGAAGGGGCAGAGTCGATGGATATACATAGGAAATGAAAAGACGGAAATTGTAGTATTTTGTTCCCAGAGTAGAAAGTTGTTGATCCAACCGATCCAACCACAAATGTTATTACTTGCTCCACATTAGTTCCAACTTCCATCCACAAATGTTATTACTTGCTCCACACCGGTGTAGATATTGGAATTTCTTTTCTGAAAATGAGACAGCACCAAATTACAGGAGCTAGTACGACACTGAGAGGTTGTTATAATCAGGAAAGAAGGTTAACAAAAGAAACAACACCATACAAAAAAAAACACCATCACCCAAAACAACTTCTCTCTAATGCTAGCAGGTATTCGCGCTGGTTAGAGACATCAACAATAGCGCGGCCGGTTGGAGACATCAACAATAGCTCGTTTAAATAACATGTGAATCGAGTTCTAGGAAAATATAGCAACTCTTTAAGGCCTTGTTTGGATACACATGTATTCATCTCAATCCACATGGGTTGAAGTGGAATTGAACTAAATTTCATTCCATTCCACTCCAACACATGTGGATTGAGGTGGATACATGCATCCACACAAGGCCTAAGTCTTTAAGATTTGAGAAGAACATCAGTAGCAAGGTACTCATATGACAATGACACCAGGGTGGCTGGTTGGAGACATCAACAATAGCTCGTTTAAATAACATCTGAATCGAGTTCTAGGAAAATATAGCAACTCTCAAGTCTTAAGATGCGAGAATAACATCAGTAGCAAGGTACTCATATGACAATGACACCAGGGTGAATGAGCATGCTGCTAGGTCACACACAAAAGATACCACTTTTACAACTTAAATACTACTAGTACAAGCTAACAGAGCTGAATACCTCTGAAACAAGCGAAGGTTCATCATTTATAGTAAGATTATTATTATGCTATATGCAGCCTTAACTCGTTACCACACCAACCACACATGACAATAGTGCTACACCAACTTGTGGTCATTAGCTAGTTTTCGTCATCGGTGACCTCCAGCTGGTACTCCATACCCCCTGATGATGGACTGGCGGCGCAAGTACTCATGGAACTCACAATCAACCTCATATTGGGCGATATCACTAGCAAACATGCATTGGATGAAGGGATTGTGGGTAGTGTAGGTGAAAGGCTTGAAAGGGGGGTGATCCTTCAAAATAATATCAATGGACATCTTGTCCAACCTCCTAGTCACCATCTTAGTCTTCCCATTTTCGCCGGCCGATTCGCTGACCTTCGTCTTCTCCTCCTCCTTCGATCCACTGCCCTCCAACGATCCATTGCCCTCCGTCTCCGCTGCCTCCTTCGATCTGCTGCCCTCGGTCTCCACCTCCTTCGATCCGCTGCCCTCCATCTGTTAGTTAATAATTTCGATTTCATTAAGAAAAACAAACTAAATAAATGGAAAATAAAAATTGAGAGAATTCCTTTTATTCTTCTTCAAATCCAAAAAAAAACTTTTTTATACATAGGTCATCGATTTGCAATTGGAAAAAGGGCCGCATGCCCTTCTAGTAAATAGTTCAAACCATTTTATCGATGAGTGTTCTATATCAGATAAATTCTACACTAGCTATTTCCGCTAAAAGCATTTCGAGACTAACATTAATGTAGTTGTATTTTGAGACTAATATTTGTAGAAAGAGCACCCAAAGAAAGCTATTGTGAAAATAAAAAAAATACCTCGCTCGATCTCTTAGCCTTCTTCTTTGATCCGCTGCCCTCCTTATCCTCGCTCCTCGCCTTCTTCTTCTTCTTCTTCTTCTTCTTCTTCTTCTTCTTCTTCTTCTTCTTCTTCGATCCGCTGCTAGATCTCTTGCCCTCCTCCCTCGATCGCTTCGACTTCTTCACCGATCTGGCGTTCACCACCATCGCCTCGTCCTCCGTTGCAATCTTCTTCCTCTCCTTCCCACCCTGCAATGGAAGGACAGCCATCAACTCGCTGCCCTCCTCCCTCGAGTTCTTCTTCTTCTCCTTCGATCCGGCCGTCTTGTCCTCCTCATCGGGCCCGGGCTTCTCTGACAGCGAACGGGAGCAAGTCAGGCACATCTCTAATAGCGAACGGGAGCAAGCCGGGCACCTCTTGGTCTCCATCATAATCATCCTCCTCCTCTGCAGAACCTACCACTGCTTCTTTGTCGCCTCAGCCGGCTCCTTCTCCTGGAAGGGCCCGTGCAGCAGGACCACCTGCATCAAGTCCCGCATCTTCTCGGCTTCCGTCACCACCTCCACCACCTCCTCGTCAGGATCGGGAATGGATGTACGCTCCTTCCTCATCACAAAACCAGAGCACGTGGAACACATGACCAACTCCGAGGCGAACCCCCGCATCATCTCACCCCGTTCTCCATCGTCCTCCTAACCTTCGGCCGGCAGTCAGCTCTTCTTCTAGACGTGGATGGCGAGGCTGCGGCTGCCTTAGATAGACCGATCGATATATGTGTATGATTCCCCCGTAAACCCTAGGTGCCAATTGCCAAATAGGCCAACAAACCCAACTCGGTAGAAGGGCCCTGTTTGGTTTATGACCCACAAGTCCTGCCAAAATTTGTGCATGCCAATTGCCAAAGTTACTTTGCCTTGTTGGTGCATGTCAGCATGTGCCAAGATATACTGCATATGAAGCTAGTTGCCTGCATGGAAGGCGTGAAGGCGGCATCGCTTCTAGGCATGAACAATATTTGCCTGGAATCCGACGCGCAGTAGGTGATCTTTGGTGGGTGGCTTGGTGCATGAATTGAAGGAGATCATAGCGGAAAATTTTGTGAATTTCCAAGCTAGGTATGTGCCGCGTGAATGTAATCGAGTAGCTCATGAGCTAGTCTCTATAGGAAGTATGAGTGATAAGTTGGAGTCTGTGGCCCTGTTCGTTACGCTGAAATTTGGCTGCTGCTGCTTATGCTGATTTGTTGTGAGAAAAAAAACATTGTTCCTTCGCTGAAAAGTACTGCTGAAGTAGTGCTGAAAAACAGGGCCTGTAGTAATGGCCAGAGTGCCAGATTATATTATGCACTTAGTGTCAAGCGATTTAGCTGACATGGTTAAGTAATGGAATTTAAAATTCCTTTCAAAATTAAAAAAAATAAAGTTGTGTTTTGCCAAAATTTGGTTATGCCAATGTATGTTTTGTGGCTTTAGTAGGTCAAGAAAATTGACTTGTCTTGAAAAAGTGACTAGGGTTTGATTGGAAACTACTGCCTCCGTCTCAGAAAGAATGCAGCTTTTATTTTGCGAGGGGTCAAATAATTTTAATTTTGACCAAATTTATATAAAAAAAACTAACATTTATGATGTCAAATAAGTATCGTTAGATTCATTTTGAAATATATTTTCATGATAAACCTTTTGGAAACATAATTATTTTATATAAACTTGATCAAAGAAAGTTTGACTTATCCAAAACTTATAATTGAATTCTTTTATGGATGAATGGACTAATAAGTAACAAAGTTTGGCTAGCGCCCGATCAGGTTGTTTTGGTTGATAAACGGGTAATGCATGGTTAGTTGCTCCTAGTACTGGGTAGCTACCGTAGTCTTTCTTTCTGTTTTCTAGCTTGCTTCTCCTGAAACGCTATCTGGATGATGTATTCCCGTTATTTCTTTAATGGAAATGGAGGATCTCCCTCGGTTCGAAAAAAAAACAAAGTTTGGCCAGCCTAGATATGGTCCATT